AGGCTTCTTTACTTAATGAGAGAACAATTTGACTTGGGGTAAAATCACGTATAGGTCATTACATTGATCAATTACTTCTTCATTACATTCGGTATTTTTTTACAAATTAAAGAGGAGTTCACCAGATAAAATTTCTTGGCATAGGTGTGATTATAAATTTTTATTAGAAGTTCCAGAACCATAAATACCTTTTATATTGGGCTTTTATCATCCCTTACTTGCATTCCGTGTGTGATGTCATTAAAGGATGTCATAATTTCAGAACACATAGATGACATAACAGTGAGTTCCCTTCTTTTTGTCATTTTAGCAAATGTTTTTGGAACATTATGCAGGTCATGACCTTGTTGAAATAGACCACAGCAATTTCCATGGAATTGTAACTAATTATTTCTCAGAATAATTTCCCTTGTTTCAACATAATTGAGTGCAAAGAAAAGAAGGTACACTTTTTATATTGTTACATCTTCTATTATGATCATAGCAAAAAAAAAAAAATTAAGCTATTTTAATTCTTATGACTTTGTTTGTGCTTAGGCGGGTACGGGGGAAGCGGGGACGGGAACGAAGATTATAAATTTACTTGTGGACGGAGATGGAGATAAAAATTATACCCGTTAGCGGGGATAGACTAGAAATGAACGAAAATTTTTTAAGCGGGTACAAAAATAAAGAGTATACTCTTCCGCCCCACTTCGATCTGTTGACATCCGTACATAATATCATTTGCGTCACAAGACAATGTGTCAATAAAGTGACATAATATCGTTTGCGTCACAACGACCAACATCGCTCAATTGTCCATCGTTTGGTCCATTTGTTTTTTTTTGTTTGAAAGTCACTTAGTCGCTTTCCATTTAGCCATAGTTAGGTAAATGACACTTGGTGGGTAAATTTTAATCACATATCCTGAATTTAAGTCATATTTCACTAACACTCTCTCTAGTTTCTGAAATATCATTGCATATTCTTGTCAATTTTTGTCTGTTAACAGACCTAACAGAATACACAAGTTTACTAAATTACTTTTACTCAAACTCTAATTTTACATAATTACCCTTACTCAAATCAATACAAAATTAATTTATAATTTTATCAAATTGACATCAAATTGACCTTTAATATTCAATTTAACTACCAAATTAATATTCAATTTGATCTAATTAACACCAAATTAACTACCAATTTTATCAAGCTGATACAAATTAACTTGAAATTAATTTGAAATTTTATAAAATTATCATTTTATTTCAGCAAACTAATATTCAATCTCATGAAATTGATATTCAATTTTATCAAATTAATACCAAATCAATATTAATTTCATTTATGTAACATTCAATTTATCAAACTAACATCATTTTTTGCTTGAATTTTAACGTTCAATTTTATCAAATCAATACCAAATGGTCATTCAATTTTTTGAATTTAATATTTAATTTTATCAAATTAATATTATTTTTTAAAATTAACACTAAATTAATATTTTATTTGATCCATTTTTTTTATAAGAAAGATTCTATTTAATCCAATTAACATTTAATTTAATTAAATTAATATTAAAAGGATATTTACTATTACTTTAATGTTGTTTTATATGGTCAAAGATAAATTTGACAATTTATCACATCACACATTTTTTGTTTGTCAGAACCAACATTAGACGGCAGGGGTACTTTGTGAAACTCGTATATAAACTATAGAGCTTGTAGTGATATTTTAAAAATCAAAGGGATGTTAATGTAATATAACTTAAATCTAGGGTGCATCAGTAAAATTTACCCTTATATATGTGACCCAAACTCTAGACATTTATTATACCCTTGTAAACTTAGAATATTTAGTATGATATTTTTATTTTAACATAAAATATGGTCTATATTATAGTTTTTCGAATCGTTTTCACAAAAAGAATATATGTTTGAGGTCCATTTATTTATTTAAAATTCTTAAAATAACCCTTAATTATATAAAATTATAAGTAATGATTTAATTAACGTGACAACAATTAACTTTTATATGGGTCGCCACATTCTTGTAAACAATATATAAAACTATCAAGTCTCTCCTTTAGATAGTAATCATGATATACTAATACATTAACCATCATGGTGATTCTCTTCACGTACGAGGACTAATTAATGATACACACATAATTAAGTAGGTTTGTTATCTTTGGATATCCACACGCAACCAATCACGAATATATACCAATTATCTTATTTCAGTTAATTAATCACTTGAAATGTGGTATACCTTTAGGCCGATTCCAAACATCCAAGTGGACAAAAAAACGTAAATATTGTGAAGAGTATGAGAGTGACACCTAATGTCACATATGACTATTATACATTGTGGAAACAATATATTGTTTTCTATTTGGTTCGGGTCCTCCAAACCCAAACGATATTGTTTTCTATTAATACGTAGAAATTACGCCCTTGCTTAACTTTATCGGCAAATATATTGAAATTTCCTTCGTTTTCTTTTTGTATACATCTATAGAAATTGCGTCGCAATTAAATATATTCAAACTTAATCTACCCCTTTTAGTTTATATATATAGGTGTCCTTACTTGTACACTTACTCCTCTCTCCGTGATATCATTATTTCCTTTAGTCTCTCTCTCTGTCCCTCACAGCAGATTTAAGATGGTTGTTGAAAGGATAAATAAAATGAGGAAGTACAGGACGTCCAAATACAGGAATGATATTCCTCTGTATGCAATAACCAGCACAAGCACTAGGTAGTATGTGTTTTCAACGTTCCACATCATGCATTTGTTTCCTGTCATATGCAATTTTTTTTCTTCTTTTCTGTGTTTTTTTTTTTGGTTCGGTGTTCATTGTCGTATGCAAATCGATGCACAGGGATTGACATTTTATCTCTAATTATTATGATAAAATCAATTATACTCACTTAGATACTTTCATCTAATTTTTATTTTTACTCATTTGAATTTCAACTTCTTTTGAACTCTTTACAATGACGTCTAAATTCTTTTAAAATTATTTCTTAGTAGTACAATTACATATAATTTTATATATCTATATGAAGAAGTAAAGTCCTAAATTTGTTAAATTATTATACACATGTAATTACTAGATTGAATTTTAAGATCAAATATATGTTATATTTAATTTTTTGATATGTAATAATATAATAATATTTTAAGCGATCTAATTAATCTATTTAACAAAAGAAAAAGAGATTCTTAAATACATAACAAATTAAGTACTCAAAAATTTATAGAATAAAATAATAATTAAATTTAGTATTAATTAAAATATGGATTAATTATTTAACAATTAATTTGTTATTTAATTTAATTATACATATAATTTATGTTTATAAAAAATATTATGTAATTTTTAATTAGGCCCACCTTTAAGTTCAATAAAAAATAAGAAATAAGCCCACCCAAACTTCAAATCATGCTCCCATTGCTATTTTGATTCCCCAAAACTCTAGATAAATATTGTGTATAACAGTGTTTTTATATCAATATAGTCACGTGATATACTTATTGAATATAAAAATTACAAAATATTTCAAATAGATCCTTCTCTTTACATGAGGTTGGTTATATGTATTATTTATATAGTTAAGTGAATATAAATTTTTATGGAGTTCATTTATATATTTAATCACTTATTATTGGATAATTTTACCATATAAACTAATTTGGTGTAGTGGTTAACCCCAGTATTTTCTCCAATACTCCACTCTTCCACACCTGCCATGGCCTATCTCTCCGACAAGCCCATAATTAAATATTAGGGGTAACCGTTGTATTATGTAATTTAATAAAAAATAATATAAAAGATAAAATAGAACCCACTTCCAAGGTGAGTTATGTAGAAAATATTCGTTGCAATAGTGAATTCGTGTTATCACTGTTATATAGTGTCACCATCTTATTAGAAGATAATCTATATAATAAAGTAATTTATAATTCAAACTTTAAAGATAAATAAAATGACTTTTGTTATTCGCGGTTGAGATCGTTTTAAATTTTACTTTAAAGTTATATAACGGCCAATATTAACACCTAAATTTAATAGGAAAATAGGCTTCTAAAGGTGTGTTTGAAATGACTTTTTAAAAGTACTTTTAAAAATTATTTTTCATAAATACTTTTAAAAAAAAATTATGTTTAAAACTGACTCACCACTACCTCTACCACCACCACTACCACCCCCACCACCACCGTCATTGTCGTTGCCGCTACCACTACCACCACCGTCATCGCTAACACCACCATCACCCTCATCGTCGCTGCCACCATCACCACCCCTACTGCCACTGCCACTGCCACCGTTGCCACCATCGTCGCCATCATCGCCACCATCGTCATAGCCACCGCCACCATGGTCATTGTCACCCCGCCACAACTATCACCGTCTCTTACCACCACCACTGTCGTCCACCATCTCTCACCTTCACTATAAATCGATACTTAAATTCTTTTATTTCTTTTTTATATTTGTGATTTAATTTTAGATATGAATACAAATATGTTTATTGTTTACCATTTTTTATTACTCTGATTAAATAGATAAAATAGATCTCATTAATCTTATGTGTTACTAATTAAATACGGCGATTATTATAGTTATAAAAATAATAAGATTCTTTATATTTATTTTTAATTGTTTAATTAATGGGGACGACACGTGACAGTGACGAGGGAGTGACCGTTGCTGCACTCATGTTTTTCCCTCCCTCCACAACCCTTCCCAAATCTCATCATTTTTTCCTATCCCTCTTCACCCTCAATAACATCCGTTACAGCCAGCCACACCGGCAGCTAGCGACGCCGCTGTTAAAAATGTAAATCTTGTCGTTAAAGTGTGCTAATTCTAGAAGAAATTTCTGGGTCCACTCCTGCTGATCCCGATCTCTAACAGAATAAGGTTAGTAGTATTTCGATCTCGATCTCGATTTCGTTTCTTCGTGTTTTACTCTAAAGCCTGTCCAGTGTTGAGATTTGTATTCGATGCACAGGTTTTGGAGTTTCGTTGGCCGTTCAATTTCTGTTTCCTTTAAATTCTCCAATTATTTCAATCCATTTTCACTTTGGTTTTGGTTTTGGTTTTTAGATCGTCCTTTAGACATCTTTCGAATGGATTTTTTGGCCTCTCTCTCGATTTTATAGTTCTTTTTAAAACTTTGTTCTACTTGATGATCGGTGATGGTTTTTAGACCTATTTTTGCTCATCTTTAGAGTGGACTGTTTGGTATTCTCTTTCCAGGACTCTCGGGATCTCGATCTTGATATCTAACAAAATAAGGTGTACATGGATCCTAAAATTAATATTTGTTCCCATTAAACTCTCCAATAATTTCAATCCATATACACATTTTTCTGTTAGATTTAGTAATTATCGTGGGATTTACGTAGAGAAGTATTTTAGTCTTATTGAATTGTATGGGATTCACTTGTTCATTTTTCCTATTGTGTGGTGTGGGATGGTATCACCATTGTATTGAATGCTTGTTATCATTTATTTCAGCAGCCGTACACTAACCCTGATTGCCGCAATCAAGGGTTGTCTATTGTTGAAAACAAAATTTTAGGTCATGTTTTCTGTTATTCTTCATTGGAATTACTGATTAAGCTTGATCTTCATTGGAATTTTTAGAAAGTTGGATGATGTTTTTTGTTCTTGGGCTGGTTATCATGCTCTATGCTTTTAGAATGCTCATTTTGTTGTGAATTGGAAACTGATGTATGTCTGGAGCTCAAGTTTTTTGGGGTGGGCATGTTCATTACCCTACAGAATTCTTTCTGTTATTCATATTTGGACTACCCTACGGAATTTTTTAGCGTGTGTTGCAGTGTTTAAAAATTTCCTTCCTTTATGCAAAAAAAAAAAAATTAGTGAAATTGTTTTTCTCCTAAAAAGTTACTTAAAAACATGCTACTATTCTGTAGCTAAATGTGTTCTCAAAAGATTATCAGCAAAAGATAGAGTAGTGGCGCTCCTTGTCATCCTCCTCCTCTTTGTCCTCCTCCTCCTGCATGTGTTCTTTTTGGGCAACCCAAAAAATGAGTGTTATTTTCACATCCTGAAGCTAATCACCAAGATAATCATGTATTTATGTCCTTTAACTGGAGTGTAGATGAGTTGAAGATGGCATGTTCCATGCTTGTTTGCCAAAGATTGAGAATTGCTCTTGATTTATGTGGCTAGATATAATATTATGATTTGTTTATATACATCTGTAGTTGAACATTAGGTTCTGAAAATATCCATATTAGCATTGCATCTTTCTCTGTTTAAATAACCAAATTACCCTCCAACAAATCATGTAAATTTCCCCATTTTAGCAAAATTTTTGAATAACCAAATCAACCTTTGCACAATTGATAAAGAAAACATTATTTTTTCAGTAAAATATTTAAAAAACACGTTGACAACTCTATTAATGCAGTATAGTCCCAAATTTCCAAAAACCAATATATGTATTTTGTCTCTTCATCCGTATGTATTATCCCCCTTCTATTTTTTCGAAATTTATCAAATTGTTTGTAGAAAATTTTACCTTGCAACACATGTTTTGCATGGCTAGTATAAAATAAAAACACGTTCATAAGTTAGCCAACCATCTACTTCAAGAGTATCAGTTACTTTTGGACATTTTGAGTCTAGTCATAAGTAAACATTGGAAGACCTTTTAATTTATGTGGACAATTCAAATGAGGTCCTGCACCTTCTTTTACCAAATTTGTATTCTAAAACTACTTCATTTCATTTTTCTGATAGTGGAAGCGAGTTCAAATCATCTCCTCCAAGTCATGAGATCTTCAAATATCTGGTGCCATTACTATTTGCCCTCGTCGCCACGAAGTATCAAGCCAAAAATGAGGATCCATTTGAAGCACACCCGATAAACATGTGGTGCTTCGTTATAGCCACAATCATCTATAGCATTGCATTGGGAATAAGGAAACAAAATAAAATCTGTGTTGCAAAATACTTGCAAATCATAGACCATGTTATTCTCATCTCTGGAGCTCTTTCTACTGTCTCATTACTATCGGTCCTTCTCCCACGCTTCCTCGGGTTCTTGAGTTTTGCTGTAATGCCATTTGTGCTAATAATAATAGCATGGAATAAACTAAAACATGGATTTGGCTGGCTCTATGACAGAGTAACCAATCAGTTTACCTTCATTCCAGATATTCGGAATTGGTCCACCCAAGGCAACGTGGCAGCGCAGCCAAATCCATTGCCACAAGTGTAATCCTCTCCGCTCATCCTCATGGCGCTGCAAGCATTCATCTTGAAGAGTTTTTATTAGACTCGTTCTTCTTGTACCAAAAAATTAGATTTACACTATTGTTCAATTATATCGAAAAATATCCCGAGATATACTCTCACGACTCGAGAGCTAATCATGATTCAATTGTCTCATCTTTTGTTTTTCTTTATATTGTACTAATCATTAGGTTGGACAACTTTGTCCACTTTTGATTGATCCTTGTTCTGCTGATTTTTTTCAGTCATTAGTAAAATTGTTGCCAAAACGGACTTCTATGACTCCAAAAGTCCATTTGAAAGTGCTGCCAAACAAGAAAAAAAAAACTGGTCCGTTTCGTGAGAGTTTCGTGATGGACTTCCACCAAAAGACTATCTCCTAAATGCCCATTTTAAAGAAGGGATTTTCAGTCTCTGATTTGGGATTTGGTGTATATGTAAGTTTCAAAATAATGGGTCTCTTGCATTTCTTTCGAAGTTTAATGGGTACTAAAAACCATTTCATTAGTGGCGTATGAACACGTTCTTTGTGTAAATTGACCTGTGCTTCGAGAATTTGCTTATGCTTGTGTTTCTGAATGACGGGTCTTAGTTAGTTGTATCTTTATAGTATCAGGTGTTGAGCTGGGAAAAAGATTTAATTGGTATTCTTTGGAATCTTACTTGGTAGTATATTTTGCATATTCTTGTGCGTGACTTCCACTAATTTTGTATTAATCTTCCTAGATATAAATTGGTGGAAGATTGGCGTTCTAGCTTTTTTGTGTGTTTAAAAATCGCAATGGATTGTTCGACTCTAGAATTGGCGTGTATAGCAGTTTGTAAATGGTGGGGCTCTTTACTTTTCTTTGCAAACCAATTGACTTCTTTTCTTTATGGAAGTTTTGAACCTTAGAAAATCTGAATCTTGACAGGTTGTAATAATTTGACTCTTTGTACTTATAGTTGTGTGTAATGTGTATGCTCATGTCATTCAAGAATTGATGTATATATTTATGCCTGTGAATGATCAATCTCTTACATTGATGTAATGGGTGGTTCTTTTTTCTAATCTTACCCCTGAATGATTATATAAAGTGTATATTGTAGTTGTAATCATAACAACATTAAATGTGAGTTCTGTCATGTGTAACATTAAGTCTCAGCTTCTTTGTCCTCTCCTCTTCCTCATGCTCTGTGTCCAAATTTTAAAAGATTAGTATATGTATAGGTGTATAGAATGATTGACCGTTTGTGGGTTTTGGTTTGATTGTAAATTGGGGTTTGTTTTGCAGGCTGGTGGATGTTTGGGAGGGTACCCAAGAAAAGTGACAACAAAAGTGCTACGAAATTCTTCATGTTTCAGAGAATGCTTCGCTGGATGATCTGAGAAGAGCCTATAGAAAAGCAGCCATCAAGAACCATCCTGACTAGGGTGGTTTTCCAGAAAAGGTATATATATTTGTGTTGAAGTTGTTGATGAGTCTTTATAGATCAGCTCAGTCAAATATTCTCTTCGGACCTCAGTTTATGAAGGATTTTGAGAATATCCCTCTTTTTGGTATTATAAGTTGGAATTCGTCGTGGCATTTGATTAGTTTTTTTGTTCCTTGTAGTGCCACGTTCTGTTTATGGATTTTATTGTGGCCTACGCTGCTATGGTATGCATTTTGTTTGATTTAGCAATTTCTTTTTTTTGGCTACTTACGGCTTCCAATGTTTCTCATGCAAAAGAAAGTGGTAATCATATTTATGCAGACAAAAAAAGAAAGTGCTAGACACACCATCATTTATTGGTGCAGAGAGATACTTATTGATGCCCTCCTTATTCACCTATTTCAGAATGCAAGCAGAAATAGTAAAATGTAACCAACTGATTGACATGTTATCACTTTTTTTGGCTATTTTTTGAGCTACAGATGGTGCTGGAGAGAGATTTTTCCCTCTAAGGACATGGAATTGAACTAGTTCTGCCCAAGCAGCTGGAGGTACAAAACAAGCTCTGGAAAGCTCCACCAAGGGATATAGATTCTTTTCCAGAAGAATTTGATGTTTGACATTTTTCTCTCCATAGGAACATATGATTCTTAGTACTTAAAAAACTTTTCCTGGTCTTAATTATGGTGGCTACCAGTTAGAAAAAATTGTAGTTAAATTAGTCATGTTGTACCTCCAAGCTATTTTGAGCATATTGCAGATTCTTAAATGACTTTTCCGAACAATAATCCGTTGTTCTGGCATGAATGATGTTTTATTCACCGTCATTCTTGTTGCTTAAATGGTCTATCGTGTCTGTGGGGTATATTTGTTCGAATAAAATGCTTAGCTAATTCCATGCATCTAACTAAAAATCCTTTCTTCTTCCAACTTTTCTATCTTCTCATTTATTCCTTATGGGCCCTTCTCCCTCTAATTCTTTCCATTCTAATAATAGATAATCTATAATAATTCGTAAATCTAGATTAGCAAATTATTCTTGGATAATTTTGGTTCTAGTAAAGATCTCCCAATCTTGAAATGTATCAAAGCTTTGTATAGTAAAAAAAAGTGGGATGTTATATTTTTTGGGATTAGATTTCATATTCGAATAAAACTCATAATATTCGAATAAACCTCGAAATTGTAAAAAAATGAGTTTTTTTAGCAACGGGTCTAGCAAAAGAAAATTTGGGATAGGATTTTATGGGAGCTCCCCTCCTCTCCAAATTGGACATGAAAAATTATTTTCATCCGGTGAGAGTCAACAGGGCTTCTGGGGGCAATTCTATAACCGTACACAGCCCAATCAACTTAATGATAATCACGCATGAAATTGTACGAGACCACTTTAATTATGAGTTGAAGGATGCGAACATAATGACCCTAAAATATCTTAAGCTCATTATTCTATTAAAAAGAGACTGATCTTTGACCTCTAAGTGAGCCTGACAGACTTTTGCAAGGACTATTAGAGTTTTGACCATTGCAATACATATATTGGAATTTAATTGATATATTATTTCATTTTGGATGATTTTTAAGCTCAACAGTTTCAGTAAGCATGATCAATACTCCAATTAAAATTACATTGACATTGACAATCTTTTTTTGCAGTTGAATCAGTCCAAGCTTGAGTTTGTATTAGATAGTCGGAATCAATGTCTATTTTGTCTACTATTGTTTTTTAGTTCAAATTTATTTCCTGAATTTTATTTTCAAAATCTTAATAGTCAATTTATTATGCATAATTTCTATTATAACAAAGGAAGATTAAAAAAATTTAGGGAATAAATTTAAACAAATTTAGTGGTTTTTTCCATTTGTTTTGAGGAAAAATTGACAAAAAGATTGATTGCTATTCAAAAATTTAATTGTCTCCTCTCTTCAAAATTTTCACTGCACAGTCTTTTCTACGTTCTGTTCTGTATAATGCCCTTTTGGTTTGGGGAGAGAGAGAGAGAGCCTGAATGAATGGCTTTGCAATCACTACCACCCACATCACCAATTACGATTCCTCTGCTTCCAAAGGACATTATTGCCTCTACTTCTCTTTAATTGTCTTCATCAATTCATATCTCTACAATTTGTACAATAATGGCGGCGTCCTTGGATGAAATTCCCCCAAATGCCCTTCTTCGAAAGCGTGATCGGAACTCTAGAGGAGGGTTCAGTCTAGGTGTTGATTTGGGTATGTCCTGCACTGGCCTCACACATAGCAAGGGCTACTCTGTTCGACCGTTGACAATGCGTATATATTTATAACTGCCACAATTACTCTCTCTATTTCTCTCTCTCTCTCTCTCTCTCACACACACAGACGCGTATATATTTATATAGAGATAGGTTTTTTTGTCTATGTAGTGACTATTAAATTAACAAAATAGAAAACTCATGTTCATGTTGAGAACTGCATACTGAAAAAGAAAGTGGTTCTGGGGTTTGAGTGATTTCGTAATTGTAGATGTGAGTTCAGATTGATTTAATCACTCATAATAATTGATTGGCAATGGGTCTTAGTATTTGTTTGCGGTGTTATTCTATTTTAAAGAGATTGATTTTTTGACTCGAACTCTCATCGTATTGACTGAACAAGTGAGCACTTATCCTCGCCTTTGACAGAATTTTACGTTAATCTGAATTATGTGTATGAGTAATGCTACTTGAATTTAATTTGTTGATCTAATCCCTCACAATAATTGATTGACAATGGTCCTAATATTTGTTTAGATCTACTATCAATTTAATAATTGTGATTAATTATGTCAACAAATTAGGTTTCAATAAATAGTATTTAGGATATTTTTCATTATTTTGTAATAGAAAAAATGTTTGACAAAAATAAGTGGTTGTTCCGATTTAAAGAGTTGAAGGGTAAAATAAAAGAAATAAAAAGTATAAAAGGTACATTTAAACTAGTACAAAAATTCAGGGGTATCTATAATATTTACTCAAACTTTTAGATACTGAAACGGTGTCGTCTCGCTGTTAATTATCCTCTCCCTTGGGGTCAGATACAGAAACGCAGAAGCAGCAGAAGTATGTATATGAACTGTTGGTCTGGGGGAGAGAGAGAGTCTCTGAATGAATGGCTTTGCAATCAGTACAGCCCATATCACCAATTTCGCTGACTCTCCTTCCAAAGGGCTCTATTGCTCCTATTTTGCTTCGATTATCTTCATCAATCCGTTGCTATTGTGTTCGTACAACATTGGCTGTGTCATTGGATGAAATTCCCCCAAATGCCCTTCGCCGGAAGTGTGACCGGAACTGGAGAGGAGGGTGCAGTCTAGGGGTAGATCTGTGCATGTCCCGAACTGGCCTTGCACTCAGCAAGGGCTTCTCTGTTCGACCCTTGACGGTGCGTATATGTTTATAACTGCCACAATTACTGTCTCTATCTCTCTCAGACACACATTGCGCCCTCTAATGAGCTGATTGAGTTAGGTTCTGGAGTTGAGAGGGCAAAAGCTTGAGCTTCGACTTATTGACATTGCTGAGAAGCAGGTACAGGACCCTCTCTCTCTCACTCACCTGCACACACAGACATAGATATTGATATAGAGATAGGTTTAATGTCTTAAGTGGCTGTAATGTAAGAGAGATAGAAAACCCATATGGGGTTTGAATGATTTCGTAATTGTGGGTGTGGGTTCCGATTGATCTGCTGGTGTGGGTCAATTTTTATTTCCTACATTCGTAACGATTGTGAGTTGGTATGTAGTAGGAGGTTGATGAGTTCATCGTAGGACTTCCTAAGTCTTCTGATGAAAAAGAGACGCCGCAGTCCAATAAAGTTCGTTCTGTTGCTGGTAGGCTTGCAGTTCGAGCTGCAGAGAGGTGAATTCTTATGCTAAAGTGGTATTTGTGATTACTTTTGGAGTTTCATCTTTTCGTTCATTAGGGATTGTCAGGCTCAAATGTATAGATATGATTGTGTACTTGCAGTTTTTCAACCTTGTTTGGTATCTGAGTTCCATTTAAAATTTAGGGTTGTGAATTAAGGACCTTTGGCTATTTGAATTCATTTTCTGGATATGCAATGGTACTTTGGGAATTTGAATTCATTTGAGACAGATGTTCTTGAATACAGGATAATTGCTTTTCTGATTTGTCAATTCTGAATTGATTTGCTCAAAATTCAGCTTGTAGAAAAGACATATATAATTCGATTTTCTGAGGGGATGTCATGGACACTAAGAATGGACTGTCTCATATGAAGGTTTTGGAAACATTTGGGTGCAAAAAGGCATATGCTATTGTAAACATTATGCTAAAACTTACACTAACATATAAATGATCAAGGAAGAACAGTATCTAGATCCATGTCTCACAACAAGGGTTTGAGCTTAAGTGGTATGACTTGCACCTCCCTATGGTGTGGACAAGAATTCAAGCCAGTACAGGCATGGTGTGTGTTGTTGCCACCCCCAGACTATTTAATGTGGTGGGGAGAAAACTACAATGGAAAAGGGGATTTCAATGTGTAACAAGGATAAGAATCAGCAAAAGTAAACTAGCATTTTCTCTGATATCTGGTAAATTTTAATGCTTTGGGCTATGTAATAGGGTAGAACATGAGGTTGTTCATATTGATTTAAAGGTTGTATTATGAGTGGTTTAATTCCATATATGGCAGTTTGTACCGGTATTTGTTATCGGGAAATGCCTTGCCTGTTTTTGTCAAATTTAAAACACTTTAATTTGAGTTTCGAAGTCTAGTCTCAACATAGTTTCCGGATGATGTTTACATACTGTCTTCTTTGTACAAGTTAGAATTGGATGAAGTACATTTACATATGTGTAGTTGTGTACTATATACATATGATCAAGTCAACATAGGATTTCTAGGGATGATGACAATTGATCAGCATAAAGCTTGAAGCATGAAATATTGTGGAAGAAATGTTCAAAGCAATTGAAAGCATGGGACTGGTTGATATCATCTGTATATTTTTGTCGTATTGAAAAATGATAAGCAAACTTCTCATTCAGAAAAAGAAAAAATAGACTGAATTTTTCATGTCGTTTCAGTTGTCCTAGTGGACGGGGAAGAAAGAAATTCCTAAGATTTGTGTGACTCACCTTCGATACAGGGATCAATCACACTTTGTGGAGTGTTGTATATTTATATTTTGGGAAAAGTTCTAGGAGCTATATATCATGCTAAGTTAATTCACTTTTTATTTCTTTGCAAAAGACTCCTCCTATGGAAGCATGACATGACATCTACTTGACATTCATATTTGTTCTTCCTGTTATTTTCTCTTGCATCTATTGCTAGCTAGACTTTCGGCTCAATTTCTGTTAGATTGACTACTTATATGCATTCCAAAATACAGGGGTTGGAGAGTGTACCTGCAGGATGAGCATGGGACATCAACCGAGGCTATGGACCGTATGATTAATATGTAATAATTTCTCTCTTGCATCTTAATTATTTTGTTGGAATTTTCCTTACAAGGATTAAAGAATCAGCATTGGTTTATAGATCTGTTTAATGTCACTTTTATGTGAATGAGTTAAATTATGTATCTTTGATGGAGCATTAGAAGGATACATGGCGGTTGAACCAGTGTGTTGCATTTCCCACGAAGTTTGAACACAAAATCCCTCACGGTTGGGTGGGGTGGGGTGGGGTAGCGTGTTTGATATTTATCATGCTTACAACTACATAGCAATGAGAGCTTGTCAAATGATATTTTAATCACGATAGACTTTTTCGAATATTTAGAATACGATGGCCCAGTTTGTCTTCCACCTTTTACAAGAATGCACATACGTCATCCCTAGTCTCTGAAGCACCAACAACTTAGAGTAACTTCATTTGGATTCGACAATACTCCACTTGTTTGCTGAGAAGACGGTGAATGAAGTGGAACCTTGACATCCTTATATGGAAAGGGTTAGTTGCAGCATCCCCTACATTTTAGTCTCTTTGTCCCACAGTTGCGAAAATGATAAGAGTGATGACATTAGTGAAAAGAAAATGCCCACTAAAAGCTAAATACTAGAGGGTGGTCTTTGGTGCAGAGGTTAGTTTGCTCCATTGTGACCAGGGGCCTCAACGATTTGAGTCACGGAAATAACCTTTCCGCATGTGAGTAAGGCTGCATACATTTAACTCTCCCCACACTCTTCAGTGGCGGGAGCCTCATTCACTGGTCACCTTCTTTTTTCAAATATATCTAACCCATCGAAAATGGCCAGGAGTGCATTTATAAATTTTTATTTTCAGGCGTTGTACACTTGATTTTATTGTTAATGTTGCTATATTTCTCTTCGTAAGAATTAATGACATTAGTAACTTAGTTTCTATGTGGAAGTATGGCCTTGTGATGTTGAATATGTGATGATTTTAGACAAAGTAGTGCTGATTAGTCTCCAGAAGAGGAACTTATAAATTTTGTTAAAGCAGTCGTCTCAAATCCTTTCAGGGGTCTCAGTAAGTCTGTTTGGCAAGGGAGCATTGATGCCTACGCCGCTATAGTATGCATTGTGTTCTATTTAATCAATGTATTTATTTATTTGTTTAGTTTTCAGTTTTTTGCTACTTAAAGGGAAGTGCTAATCTCACTGTTTTTCCCCCCTTTTTGTGCATAGAGACCCCTATAGATCCCCTGCTTAATCACTTGTCACAGAATGCAAGCAGAAGCAGAAATAGGAAAATGTACCCAATAGATTTTGACATGTTATCACTTTTTTTTGCCCATTTTTGATTACAGATGGTGCTGGAGAGATATTTTTCCCTCTCAGGTCATGGAATTGAACTTGTTCTGCCCAAGCAGTTGGAGCTCCAAATCAAGCTCGGGAAGGGTCCAACTAGGGATGCAGATATTTTTCCAGAAGAATTTGATGTTTGACCTTTTCTCTCAATAGGAAAATATGATTCTTAAAGAATTCTAGTGGTTGGTGGGTCTCATGGTTGCTACTAGTCGGAAAAAGAATTCTAATTCAATTAGAATCATGTACCTCCAAACAATTTGACCCTGTTGTATTCTTGTTGATTGAGTGGTCTTTTGCATTTTTTGAGGTAAAAATCTGTACAGAACACAGTACCTGCAATGGAGTTTGGGACAGACAAATGACTTGCAGTTTTATCCTGTTTAAAGAGATTAATTCCGGGACTTGAACCTACCATCATATTGTTGAATAGATGAGTATTTACCGTCGCTCTAAATCTGCCGTTTGACTGACTCACAATTCTGTTCGGTCAAAAAAACATCATTTTACACCATGCATCCAAAGACAAGTGCATTGTAACAATTATGGAATCATGGATTAATATAAGTTGATAAACGGCCAAAGAAGAGTTCATAATTAGCAATAAAGTTAGTGATTACTATTAAAATATGATTTGCAAATATTAACAATTTAAACATTTAAAAGTTTCACAATTTATCTTAAAAAATTGAATTCTCAACTTATAAAAACGAAAAAAATTAATCAACTTTTTATCTATTTTAATTCAATGGTATAAAAATTCATGCCATTTTTTTTTCCTTTCCCAAAATATCAATATCCTTACACCGACTCCCAATGCTAAACAACTCGATCAATATTCCCTAACGTCAATCCACACTTACTTCTCTCATTTTAATTTTAAATTACGCAATTAAAAAAATTAAATTATTATTTAAAATACAAATATTATAAGATTAATTCAATTTTTGATATTGTAGTGTCTTCAATTAAGGGGTTAATAGGCCTATTATTGCAAAAGGTGAAGAGCATGATAGAGATTATTTCCATAACAATATGGTGTTTATTTTGTCTTTTATCTTCCTGTGATGAGCAGGTACTATACAAAACAACAAGACAACATCCAGGTCATTTGTTGCCATGTTTTTAGGATGACAACAACTTAAATAAAGCCACATAATTTTGTGTCGCACAAGTCATCAATTCTTCAACTCCATCGAAGAGTAGAAAATACAGTTCTACAAGTCAATCCAACCGGTTTAAGATGTCCGACTTGTTTATGTGTGGCAGCAAGTAATATGCGCACAAACTCTAGCTCTTCTCCTCACGGCACAAGAAATGCCACTTTATTTATGGCACAACAAATTCAAGCTTTCACTTTCTATCAATGGTGACCAACCTGCAGCAACACGAACCCAAAGCAG